ATTTGTTGGCCTTAGATACATGTACTCGTTTTAGTGCAAGTAATGTAACAAATAACTCGGTTTGAAGAGTGGAGGCCCAGTTAAAAATTGTTTATGCTACTTTGAGTAGAGTGATTTGGTATTTGACGCTATTGATGGCTGGATGGATGTACTTTTACAATAAATGGGCGCCGGATCGACAATGTTATGCCTCTTGTACATATTATGGCTCTGTTGCAACGCAAGATCGTTAGTAGAGAAGCACCGAAGGCTGATATTACCACGGTGACGGATCTGTCGCTTTATAGTGATTTTGTGTTTTTGCATTTAGATACACGGAGTATAAGAATCCCCCTGCACCCAAATAAGACCATTATTTAGCAGCATTCTGACGTTTTAATCGTATATATGTGTGTTCCACCCTTTTCCCCAGAGCCTTTTTTCTGTAATTTATCATGAATATTTTAAAGCTCTATTCTAGGTACATAATTTTTCCCCCACCCTTCCTACGCAACTCGCCCCACTCTGCTCATTTCTCCCTTCTTTTCACCGTCTCCTCGCCCCCATTCTCCGCCTGGGGACAGATAAAGGTGGTTTGAGCCGGTTTGCTTGTATCGTCCGGCTAAGCTGTGGAGATGAAGTGTGCGTTAACCTTACAACGCTTGGGCTAAGGGCGAAATGAAGGTCATTACCTTTTGACACTGAGGGAGCAGTGTCCCGTTCAAGGCGAGGGTTGAGTGGTGTGAGTAGAACAAGGTCATGGCCTGAATATATACTGAGGAATAATAGCTCAGTGCAACGGGAGCATGATGAAGCGCAACGTTATTTAATAGTTTTAGTTGAATGAACAATACCTCAAGGTGACGCTGCCAGCTGATGTTGTCCTGGCTACAGTTATTGAAATAGAGTTCTTTCTTAGGCGTTGTGCTTGATGCTTAATCATCCATACCACTTTGTAATTGAATAAATTAATACCGACTGTTTGGCTTCACATTTGAGCGCCCTGTGCAAATGTCAGGTATTAGATTTTTTCAAATTTAATACCTGACATGTAGGTTTGGTGCTGGGCTTAATGCCTATCAACCTTTAGTGTGTTGAGGTCACTGCAATAGCTCGCTCGCTTAACAACCAGCAAGTATACTTTAGTCTTTAAACCTTGCGAGGGTTTCGGGACTTAGCGGCCCGGTCCTCGCCCAGGCCTGAACATAGTCCATAAGCATTCAGAATATACACAAAAGCGGGATACACCTGGGTGTATATACTTTGTATTGGTTATGAACACCACATATACACTATTTTTATACTAGTACAATTGACGGTGTCTATGAATTCTGTTGCAGCTCTCCAAAGTTGTTTCTTAAGAAAATCGAATGGGTTCGCAGTACAAACCCACCGCTAGTTACATAAATGAAAAAAATATATTATTTCTTGGAAACTCGTGATGTTTGGTATCGAGCTGGCGACTTGCCTTGACCACTAGCCTTGAGTGAGCGATGCTTGTGGTGTTAAATTTTTTATTTTGTTCAAGTTTGGTGGCGTGTTACTACGGACGGTCTTAAGGCTGGCTTCCGTAGGGATAGTAGAGCACACCGACCGATGGTGGTGTGGTGGCCACGAGTAGGGTGGGGGAGGGGGAGAATTGATGGGGTACATGATGTAGCGTTAAGCTCTGGAATTCTCCTGGTCGCATAGCGACTATTGAGCCAGTTTGATTATTGCAATCCTTCCTCCGAATAGACAGTACGTTTTATTAATGCTAAATGTAACAAGTACATTCCTGACTGTCTGCATAGTACATAAATACACTTAATTGTGCTGCTACATTTACCTCCCTATTATATTCTCTTCTCAAAAAAAAAAAAAAATCAATTTTTAGGTTGAAGTTTTTGTGTTCAATTCTATATACACAAATTTTAAATATGAAGAATTTTTTCAGTTTTATTAAACAAGATAGATTTTATACAAAATTTGAAAATATCCTGACTTTATAATTTATTGAAAGACTTTAGTTTTGTTTTATTAGTTTTATGAAAGTGTAATATCAATATAGCTATAGGTTAAGTACTAATTGTAATTAAGAAGCAATAAATGCTATTTATACATGCTTGTCCTCCTACACTCCCAAGGTTAGGTTAGGTCGTGGTTTTCAATGCAGCTTTTCAGGTAAACTCTAATATTCATAATATTTTGGTATGATGCTAGCGATTAAGTGTATTTATGAACTATGCTGATACAGTAGTCAGGATTGTACTTATTACATTTAGTATTAAAATGTACTGTCTATTTGGAGGATGGGCTGTTATTGACAGTGAAGTCATAATGTCCCAGGACTACAATTAATTAGTTTATAGTTATAAGCGAGTGTCAGATTTATAGTCCTTATATTATCATAATAAACAAAATCATAATAAAAACAAAACCCTAATTGAAATAAGTTTTTGAGGTAACACAAAGGGATGAGGTAACTCAAGCTATTCTCCCCCGTTCAGTACAACGTGTTCATACATACATTGACACATCACAAACAATAAACATTTTACCGAACATTCTGAGTGATAAACTTGTATATTTCTTCCTTTACACATGTAGTATCCCGCCAAACACACAGCGAAACTACGACGTTGGTACAACGTTCGACCAAGTTTTAACATCTCCTAACCAGTTATAACAACCAATATAGCAAGTTGTAACAACGTTCTAATACGTCATAAACACGTTAAGCCAAGATGTAACAACTTTATTACAAGTTGTAACAAGCGGAAAATAGAGACAGTTTCGGTTTGTGTTTCCAGGGATGTTACCAGATGTACACACAATTACTTGTATCACTAGGTATATAGACAATTTGCAATAGACATTCAGACAATTTAACAAAAGGTTACAATTTTGGCACGTTATGGAAATCCCTTGCTTAGGCAAGGAGATCCTGCCTATTCCTTTACCTCCTATTCAACAACATATCTTCATACTCAAGTGTAAGAAATCGACATCAAGAACAACAATACGTGCTCAGAAGCAGTGTCTAGACAGACACCACCACCAACCTGGAGGGAGTCGGTCGGCCGAGCGGACAGCATGCTGGACTTGTGATCCTGTGGTCCTGGGTTCGATCCCAGGCGCCGGCGAGAAACAATGGGCAGAGTTTCTTTCACCCTATGCCCCTGTTACCTAGCAGTAAAATAGGTACCTGGGTGTTAGTCAGCTGTCACGGGCTGCTTCCTGGGGGTGGAGGCCTGGTCGAGGACCGGGCCACGGGGACACTAAAGCCCCGAAATCATCTCAAGATAACCCTCCCTGCTCAAGTACCCAACACACCTGGACACCTGCTGTCTGGGACCAACTCCACTTGGCAGCCTAACCACACGTTTAAGACTGCCAGCGATAGTTACGTGCACATCAGCGCCACCTACAATAAGACGAGTTCTGAAAGGCGGGCTGTTTACCTCTCACTCGAATCTGATAATTATTTTGAACTCCTCCCCGGCCTTCTTCCCCCAGCCTCGTGCTCCCTTCTTCCCCCAGCCTCGTGCTCCCTGCTTCCCTCCCCCCTTTTTTTTGGGGGGGGGGGGAGTAAAGAGGATAGAGAGGTGCAGGCAAATGGAGTTTTGTTGGAAATGGTAATTATACATGTAGTATGAGGTATGGCTATCTTTTTTTTTTTTTTTTTTTAACCCAAAATTTTCTCTTTGCTTCATTGCTTCATTAACCTTTTACTCTCATCATATTCCGTTTCTTGCCCCTTCCCCTTCCCTGTCATTCACTAGATATCTATTAAGTTCACTTGATTCCTGTGGTCCTATCAACAGCTCTTGCCTTCCTCATCCCACCTAACAGTTCCTCTCAGTCCTTTACCAGTTTGTGCAACTCTACATTACATTTTATTGATGTGTTAAACCAAACATTAGCATGTCCCACATGAAACTATTTTAAGGTTAAATTGTTCACTGTCTCTTCAAGGTCACTTTCAACACCATCTTCTGTATTCAGCTACCAGTTTTATCACTACAAATTTTAGTATATTAGGCCTATCTTTTGGATTCTTGTGAGGTATTATCACCCTTTCACCACTTAATCTTATCTGTTAAATAATACCAACATGTGATAAGACAAACTTCCAGATATTGCTCGTGCTGCTCTCAAATCACACAAATATTTAGGAATACTTCTCTCAATAAGTACTTGATCACTCTTTTGTATGATTTTGACTGTTACCCTGCACCATGTATTTTATGTATACTGTACTTATGTGCAGGTATTAGCAATACATAACGCTTTCACTGCAGGAATCTTTCATTCTACAGCTTTGGTATTGTAATTTATTCTTGGGACACAATCACCACCTATTATATCATTCTAGTCTATTTCCAATTTACTATTTAGATCATCTATTTACAATTATTCTAAGATTCAAAAGTATCACACCAATCACATTTTCTATGCTACCCCAAAAAACTTTCACTTACCACAGGTTTTTTACATGGAGGCCGTGTTCTATCGGCACCTAACGGGTTTGAACACAGCATCTTTCATGCTGTTAAGGGCAGATCAGTTTTCCTACTTATCCATAATGAATACTGGGTGTTGCCAAGGTGTAAAAGGCATATCAGCAAGGCGAGTAACCTTTGACGACTATTGTGTGATTGGGTGGTTATCTGGATGCATGTAGAGGAATACTGTGGTGTTGTAAGCCTCGCTGTTTGAGAAAGCAGCTCCATCTCTCTCACTGGGTAGTGAGAGATATGGAGCTTTGTGAGATATGATGACAGAGATCCAGAGATAAAGTGCACATAGATGAGCACAGAGCTATTGGATATATAGTACTGCATTTGATGTATATTTTGGCAGACTGGTCCTAAAAATCTGGATAATTATAAGCCTATATGCCCTATGTTAACAACTGAAAGCATTATGTTGCAAAACATGTCACTTGCGCACACACTGATTAAGTTTTATACAGTGGTATTTTTACTACTACTATACAGATATTTATCAAATTTCTATCTTTTAACTTTTGCTTTCAGTCGCTTGATTCCCTGACTGATACAGCAGTACCCGAAAACATTCGCCTTGGGAGGGACCTGAATGTGAACCAGCCTGTAGGAGAGCATTCCATCATTGCTAGGATTAGGGAGATTTCGGAGAAGAATGAAATATGGCGTTCCTACATTGGAATGGGTTACCACAACTGCAGAGTGCCTCATGCTATTCTAAGGAACATCTTTGAGAACCCTGGATGGTATGCAAACTAAGTGCAAGTTATATTATTTAAACTTTTCTCACTAGGGCTAGATTAAAGTTAACACTGAATGTAAAGTATTATTAAAAGTATTTTACACAAGATTGCAACACTATGCTGTAATTATCTCTAATCATCTTCCCAAAAATGTTTATACTTTAATTACCTTCACTCTTATAGTTGTTGAAATTTAATTAAATGCTTCAATCAGTTGCTTTTTTCTCTCAAACAATGGAGTTAATGTATTTGTCCTTGATACCAAATTATTTCAGGACCACCCAATACACACCTTATCAGCCCGAGGTGGCTCAAGGACGCCTCGAGTCTCTTCTCAACTACCAGACACTGGTGACAGACTTGACAGGTCTCCCTGTGGCTAATGCATCTTTATTGGACGAGGGAACTGCTGCTGCAGAAGCCATGGCTTTAGCTTATAGGTATTGAAGATACAAAAAAAATCAGTACAGTAATACAGTACATTTGTAATAATTTCTGTAGAAAGCAAGTTCAGGATTGAATACATTTTTTGTTCTATACAAATCTTTTCTTTTTCATTAGGCAGAACAAGCGCAGAAAAGTGTATTTGTCAGACAAACTACATCCACAAACGCTTGCTGTTGTTCAGACCCGGGCCATTCCTCTTGGTTTGGAAGTTCTGATTGGTGATGTATTTGATATCGACTTTTCAAATCGTGATGCGTGTGCCGTGCTTATCCAGTATCCTGACACAGAAGGAATAATTAAAGACTTCTCACAAGTTATCGAAAGTGCTCAGACAAATGGAGTAAGTTCTTTTGTTGAATTTTTATTTATTGTCTTGTCAGCTTGTAGGAATTTATTATAGATAAGTCAGTTTTCAATTTGAACTATATATGTTAATATTTAATCGGTAGAATGTTTCAACAAGTGGCTAATCAACATTACTAAAGGTATGTTGAAGCATTGTTTTTTGTAAGATAGTTATACAGTACATAAAATATTTTTATATTAATTATTTTGTAGTGTTTGATCACTTTCAACAGTTTACCTTTAATATTTGGGTTCCTTTTGAGCTTCCCTTTCAGAATGTGGTCTAAATATTAATGCAGTACTTTGAAGAAGCATTTGGTCAAGAATTTGATAGTGGTTTGGCTGTTGGTGAATCAAATGCTTGGCTACTTGCACTGATAAGTAAGGGTGATAAGAAAGGCAAAAGTGGAAGCAAGGTAAAGCCAAATGTAAGATAAAGGAAGTGTAACAAAGAATGTGTAAAAAAAGTCGGTGTTGGATGAGATAGTGTAGCACAGAGAGATTGCTGTGGTGGGAGTAGAGCTGAAGACAGGGACCACCACTGGGAGAAAGTTAACCCGGTGCTATTAATTACAAGGTTTACAAGGAATGAGACACACCCATGGGAGACATGGTAGAGAATGAGAGGCTCCCGTGGGAGACATGGCAGAGAATGAGAGGCTCCCGTGGGAGACATGGCAGAGAATGAGAGGCTCCCGTGGGAGACATGGCAGAGAATGAGAGGCTCCCGTGGGAGACATGGCAGAGAATGAGAGGCTCCCGTGGGAGACATGGCAGAGAATGAGAGGCTCCCGGGGGAGACATGGCAGAGAATGAGAGGCTCCCGTGGGAGACATGGCAGAGAATGAGAGGCTCCCGGGGGAGACATGGCAGAGAATGAGAGGCTCCCGGGGGAGACATGGCAGAGAATGAGAGGCTCCCGTGGGAGACATGGCAGAGAATGAGAGGCTCCCGTGGGAGACATGGCAGAGAATGAGAGGCTCCCGGGGGAGACGTGGCAGAGAATGAGAGGCTCCCGTGGGAGACGTGGCAGAGAATGAGAGGCTCCCGTGGGAGACGTGGCAGAGAATGAGAGGCTCCCGTGGGAGACGTGGCAGAGAATGAGAGGCTCCCGTGGGAGACGTGGCAGAGAATGAGAGGCTCCCGTGGGAGACGTGGCAGAGAATGAGAGGCTCCCGTGGGAGACATGGCAGAGAATGAGAGGCTCCCGTGGGAGACATGGCAGAGAATGAGAGGCTCCCGTGGGAGACATGGCAGAGAATGAGAGGCTCCCGGGGGAGACATGGCAGAGAAAGAGAGGCTCCCGTGGGAGACATGGCAGAGAATGAGAGGCTCCCGTGGGAGACATGGCAGAGAATGAGAGGCTCCCGTGGGAGACATGGCAGAGAATGAGAGGCTCCCGTGGGAGACATGGCAGAGAAAGAGAGGCTCCCGTGGGAGACATGGCAGAGAATGAGAGGCTCCCGTGGGAGACGTGGCAGAGAAAGAGAGGCTCCCGTGGGAGACATGGCAGAGAATGAGAGGCTCCCGTGGGAGACATGGCAGAGAAAGAGAGGCTCCCGTGGGAGACATGGCAGAGAAAGAGAGGCTCCCGTGGGAGACATGGCAAAGAATGAGAGGCTCCCGTGGGAGACGTGGCAGAGAAAGAGAGGCTCCCGGGGGAGACGTGGCAGAGAATGATTGTCCGTGATGGTGCCCATATTGTACTACACAGTGGGGCAGAAAAACTGGAATAACTTGTCAAAGTGGAAAGTGTATCTTTGAAAGAAAGGCATTATAGAAATTGCTTGAAAAATGTGGGTTGTTGGAGTGAAATATTTTAGTTGAATGCAAAGTTTGTAGTGAAGGAGGGAGGGTGGCATGGGTCTCACCTTGACATTATTGGCTTGGTGAGGCCAGTAAATAATTTAGTGGTTCATGTTCGTCTTTGCTCAAGACACTCTAGAGTATATGATGTACAAGAAGGGGTTAAGGAACTAGCTTGCACTTGACCACTTAAATATTAATGAGGAAAAATTACAAAAGTATAGTGCTGTACATTTATAAATTAATCTTTTGCAGAGGTAAATATGTTTGAGCATCATATTTCTTCTATAAGTTGTAATGCTTTTTGATATGGACTGTTTGGACTGTTTAGTAGCTATATTATTCAACCCATCCTCCTGTTTAGATGGTATTTTTTGCAACTATGTTGACCATCGTACATACATAGACATAATGGACAATCAGATAGTAGAATTTGGTACTATTCACTTTATAGAATTCCCCCCCCCCCAAAAAAAAAAAAAAAAAAAAGCAAAAAAAACCTAACTTAAATATGCCTAGACCAAGTATAGCGCACATATATATACTGTACTGTAATACCGTGTATTAGGGCTAGGAAGGTAAGGTCAAGTTTGCAACATCAATGCATAAACCTTTTCGGTTTGTCCGAATTCAGTAGTACCGAGTTCTACTTTCTAACTGCCTTTTCCGATGTACGATGGTTCTCATTGTTGTTATAAGTACTACCTAGACAGGAGGATGGGCTGTATTATTAGACAAAGTTCATTGTATTCAGCATTGTATCCTGAAATTGATCTAAAATTCATTTAACTTCAGACAATGGTGGTTTGTGCTACGGACCTATTGGCCTTGGCAATTCTCCGTCCTCCTGGGGAATTAGGTGTGGACATTGCAGTGGGGACATCACAGAGGCTTGGTGTTCCTCTAGGGTATGGTGGTCCACACGCCGGCTTCTTTGCTTGCAAGAACCCTCTTGTACGACTGATGCCTGGCAGGATGATTGGAGTCACAAGGTAGGGGATTCATCCCTTTTCATTGCAGTGTTGTTTTTGCATTTCTACGAATTGCATTTAAGATGTAAAAATTATGTAGCGTTTCCTTAACCCTCTGGTTGAGTGTTTACATTAGACCACACAAGTTATCATGGCATACCATACATGGCTGGGAAAGGGCAAGCCCCTGGGGAGTAGAAGAACTCCCAGAACCCCATCAACCAGGCAGGTGGCATAATGTGAGGAGCAGTGTTTTGGGACATTGCTGCCAGGTAGCCACTCATACCAGGATATTTATTTTAATATTTTCTAGGTTGTAAGATAAATGTCTACCCCTTACAGAATATAGAGAATGTTTGTTCCTTGTTTGACAGTTGACAAATATACTTCAGAATTGAAGGACAATTTTGTGTTGTGCAACACAGGTTGACATTCACAGTCAAGTGATTAAGGCAAAAGGAATTAGAACCATTAATGTTTATGGTATTTGATTTTCTGTTTGGTACTTTTCAGTTTATAATACCATACTATATGGATTATTCTTCTAATTTCTCATAAGTACCTTACTCCACATATTGTAATTCACTGTTTCAAAAACTCTAATGCCTGTACCTTTACTCATGTTCATTGCAGACCTATATTTTGGGCCTTTCAAGGGTACTAAATCTAAAATTGGGAAATAATGAACCAAGGTCCTTTCAGATGAGTTTAAAGGCTAATGGTCTTTCAATTTTATTATTTTCACAGTATTTCTATGAACCTCTGAACATGGGTTTTGTTTAAACAATCTAATTTGATGTAAATAATGCACTACATATTTTACTTCACATTACAGTACTTGAAAAAGAATTCTTAATACAGTAGTTCTTGTGGCTACAAGTCATTATCTTGAACTTTTGATTGTACAGTACTGTTGTTGTACTCTTTTCATTACATTGTATGTATTGTGTAAGCAAATAAAGTTACTGTATACAGAGAAATGAGTATTTTGCAGAGATGCTAATGGCAAGGAAGCATATCGCCTGGCCTTGCAGACGAGAGAGCAACATATCCGCCGCGATAAGGCAACCAGTAACATCTGTACTGCACAAGCATTGCTTGCAAACATGTCAGCAATGTATGGAGTTTATCATGGACCTGATGGGCTGAAGCGCATTGCAAATCGCATACACAATGCTGCTATCATTTTGGCAAGGGGGCTTCAAGATTCAGGACATACTGTTGAAAGTGAATTCTTCTTCGACACAATAAAAGTAATATACTCTTCCTTTATTATGCATCTATTTGACAGAATTTAAAATGATTTAATTTGTATTTTAAATCTATATATTTTGCCTGAGAGTTTATTGCCTTAATTTACCTTTACCTTTAAAATATAATGTATTTTGGTCATTAATTTTGAAACTAAATAACATTTACTTGAAATCTTGACTACCTGGCCCTCTCACGCTTATGCCTGTTGCCATCGGCTCAACACCTGCTGCCTCTGCAGGGTCCAGCAACAGCAGCTTGCTTTCCTATACCCCACCAGAGGTGCTTGCTCTGCAGGGTTATGGCCTTCCTCCTTTGAGTTGTATCCTCTTGAATCATCACTACCAGACAGTCCACAAAACTTGTTGCTCCTTGTGGGCCATGTGGATGGGAGAGAAAGTCTTTTGACTGTACTGTGCATTTTTTTTTTAAACCTGCCTATTGTCCTTGGTCATCTTCTAGGATGTGTTGTGGTCTTGCACTTTAGTCAAAGGGGCACTTTGGTTGCATAAGTGAATTTTCATAATCTGTGGCTGCCCTTGCCAAGTGGTCTATGTTGGGATTTAGTGTATTGCTTCAGAGATATTTTCCCTATGCTTGGCATGCCTGCCTGTCTGCTTGATAGTGGGGGTGGCAGGTATCCATTGTTTCTGTTGTTTCATCGTCTCGTTAGTGTTATTCACTGGGTCATGGCTTCCCCATCTGATGTGTAAGTGATGCTGCCGTTTGCAGATAATATGTGCTTTGGTATTTTTACACCTTGGTCATTCCTGTTGTCTACCTAGTGTGACCTAGCGAGTGTTTTTTACTTTTTGCCCATAGGGGTGTGTGTGCTGTTTGTTGGCTCTGGACAAATGCGTGTTGTGCTTTGGCTGCCTAGTGGGACTGAGCTGTGATATAGGATTTTGCAGCCTCTTTGTAGGTGGTGCTGATGCCAGTTCCTTGCTGTTTAAACAAGAGTTATATGACCTCATCTTAGAACCTTATGCTGAGTATTAACCGGCTTTATCTACCACTTCCACCTTGGCTGGTTTTGGCCTGTTCTGTCACAATCTCCATCTGTGTATTTGGACTCCTATAGTGTTTTTGTGCTGTGAAAGTGTGTGCGCCAACACATTTGGGGCTGGCAGAGGCAGCATTGTTGGCTACCTCCTCTGGGAATGTAAAGAATACTAGGGGAACTTTATCACTGAACTCATTCTCTTGTCTTCAGATGGGCTTAAGGATCCAACTTCCTGGGGTTCTGAGCTTTCCTTGTTGACACACTGTACCCTCTATTGAGGCTCCAAACTCCAATGCAAATGTAGGCTGCTTATCTGGTCCTTCCTCCAGCGGCTTGGGGAAGGTCCTAGGATGTTAAGGTTACTGCGGTTGGTCCCATCAACCATTTTGTGGTATGTCTCAGTGCCAGCACAGTGGTGCACCTTTCTGGACCCAGCTACCCAGTTTGCCTGGACGTTTTGAGTGGTGTCTTTCAGTCTTTTGGGGGTTTGGTTATTCTTCATCCTTGTGGAGGGTGTTCTTCTTATTTTGCCATTCTTTGGCAAGCTTCTCTGAACCATCACTTTATTCTGAACTAGTTGGTTCTCCACTTCTAAACTGTCCTCTTTATCCTTGAATCAGGGTTTGGCAAGGTTTTGGTGTGGTGCACCTCTTGAATCACTATTGGGGTTTTCAGTATGGTCTTAATCTGGCCTCCAGATGGATAGACCATCTTGCTCACCAAATTTGCTAGTGATTGCAAACATCTACAGGGAAAGTAGGAATCGAAAATTATTTTGCAGTGCTTGCAAATTTCGTTGCAAGGGAAATTACATGGACTTCACAAATCAGGCTGACAAATTCTTTCAAATTTGAAAAAAAATACAAGACCTTGCATGTGGGACACCGTGCATACTGTATTGACATTATAGCCTTGCATTAGAGTAAAAAAAAAATAGTAATAGGATATTATAATAATAGTCTACCAATTATAAAAAAAAAATTGTTATTTATCTTTGATGAAAGTTGGTAATTAAAGCCTTTACCCGAATGGTGAAGTGTGATAACTACACTGGAAATTATAACTTTGATGGTTTCAGATAGGAAAAATTGCCCATAGGCCATGTTTATTATAATACCTTTTTATTCTTCAGGTTAATGCAACTTTGGCTATAAGTGAAGTTAGAATGAGAGCTCAGCAGAAAGAGATCAATCTCCGTTACTTCAGAGATGAAACGGTAAGTTCAGTACAGTATTTAATTCCTGAACGTTAAAGTTAATTCCATTAATAACAAATGTGCACTGTGTTCGTTAGGCCTGTTTCTTTGTGCCCACTTTTTTTAAAACGAAGGGTTATCAAGGGAAGCAAGGTTGTTATAGAATCTGTATATCAGGTATAGTATATCTTGTGATTGTCACGTGCTTGAATATTGGGCTTTATATCCCTGGACTCCTGGTGAATCTTGAAGATGAAGGTATATGCTACTCATTTTCCCACGCCCCTTCGATATTATTATGTACTGTACCATATCAAGGCCAAGCATTACTGAAAATTCTCCTATATACTTCATACACTTTCAAAAGTTAATATATCGTGAATTGTACTGTACTGTATTGCAAAAACTTGCAAACTTAAAATATTTAAAACACATGATTTCAGAAGGTACTGTAAATATTTTGTACACAATTTTAGCTTTCCTGGATGAGGAGCAACTATCCCTCTCTTGAAAGGGAACCTTGAGGGTGCTGTCTAGTGCACAATACGTACAATAGTTGAAAATATAATATCGAGTTATTCACCTACTGTGGCTAGTTTCATATTTATTGAAACTGTTTTGCTAATATTAATCCTTTCAGGTTGGCATTGCCTTGGATGAGACAGTGGAGAAAGAAGATCTTGATGACCTGTTTTGGGTGTTCAACTGCAAGCATACAACTGCAGAGAAGGTACAGTACAGTGTTGTGCTTTAAGCTTGTGCACAATTTCTTTAACAAAGAATAAGAAACAAATGTGTTCATTAAGTAATGCAATTAAAGCTTTCTTCACCTATCCTCTTTATTTTGAGATGTCATAGAGCCAAACACCAGGAGGGAACCAACTACAGTATATGGATAATCTTTGCGTAAGAGCTGTAGAGCGTTTTTGAATACGAGGAACAAGAGCCACCCTTGTGCTTAGTGACAATAGTAGAGATGGTTACTAGGTTACCTACATACATTAGACACGAGGCTAACAGGTCACATGCCAACCGAAATAACCTGGTAGGTTATTAACCTGGCACTAAATAACCTGGTAGGCTGTGGTTCTTTGCTGCATCTGCGTGAAGTTATCATAATAAAACTCTTGTTCCCACATGGTGCATCTTCTCAACAGTGTGAGCATATTTTTCTGTGACCATAGAATAGCTAGTAGACTGAATATTATTAATACATAGCTCAAAGGGGATTTTAAGATCTACCCGATTAACATTTTACTTAACTTTTGACTTGTATATTTGCAAACTGTTTAGCAAGCTGGTTTATGAATTATTCTCAATTTTGCATGTTGACATTTAATTTGAGACGAGTTTTACAAATTCATTATCCCTCGTAGCAGTTTTGCTTCATATTTTTAGTGTCTTCAGTACTTGCTGTAGCTGTGTTTTTATGTACCTGCAGCCCTGGTCTAGTACTAGAAAATAGGGCCTGCAGTACCACTATTGTGCTTAGTTACGTGCCTATGAACCGGTGACTACAGGGTAGTGAGATTTGGCTCCTTATGTCCTGCCTCCTTGCCCTTTACATAAGGTACAAATTACTGTACCTATCAACATAAATGTTTTCATCATTTTCTTAAAGTTGTGGATGGAATTGGTTTAAACGACCACTTCTTTCAATGCATTCCATTTTCCAACTACTACTCGTACTGGAAATGAGAACTTCCTTACAGCTCTAAGACTCAATTGCATATCCAGCTTCCACTGATGGCCCCCTTGTTCTACCTCCTTTTAATTTAAATAGGCTTTCTTTGTGTACTTTGTCCATTCCCCTCAGGAACTTGTATGTAGTAATTATAAACCCTCTTTTTCTTCTAAGGTCGTGAGGGCGAGTTCCCTCAACCTTTCCTCATAGCCTTAGCCCTCTCATTTCTGGTACTAATATAGTTTGAAAACCTCTGATCTTTCTCAAGCTTGTTTTCATGCTTTAACAAGGTGTCCTTACACCTTGTAAGGTGTAAGGACACCTTCCTTACGCTCTCTTTAGGAGTAATATTCGGCTCAGGAGTTAGTCATGTTTCTTTTATTGAGTGTAATGGCCAGATGGTAAATCAAAATCAATGTTTTATCCCGTGCCTTGTCACTGAATGGCAGGTCTTGCCATCTCACACTTAAGACTTAAACTCTGCCGGTTGCATGTTAGATTTATTTTTTACTTAAGGTTGGTGTTAAGGTTTATATTTAAATACAGTAAATATTAAAGGTTAATAATGTATTATAAATTGGTAAAAAAAATCCATATACCTGCACAGTGTATCACTTAAGGGCTTAATTGCCTGATCTCCAGATGAAGACCGATAACACATGGCACATACGTCGTAATTTCATTTTCGTTTTATTGTTTCCATGTTGCAGGTTCCTTTTTTTTAAAACCATAATTGCAGGTTGCGAAGAATCTTGGTGATATGGCCCTTCCCAAGGAGCACATATCAAACACAGCTTTCGCTAGGACTTCAGAATTCCTCACGCATCCAATATTCAACATCCACCATTCTGAGTCTCAGTTGGTTCGGTACATGAAGAGCTTGGAGAACAAAGATGTCTCTCTTGTGCATTCAATGATTCCTCTGGTAAGATAGAACTTTTTCTGTGGACTTTTTCCAGTCTTGCTATTAACTTTAAAATGCAAGCATTTGCTGATTAATATTTACATTGCATATGAAGGTCGATATCTTTTTAGAAAGTGAAAGTTGATGCATATGATGGTCGATATCTTTTTAGAAAGTGAAGGTTAATATTAGTTTACACTTTTAAAGGGTTCTTGCACAATGAAGTTAAATAGTACAACGGAGATGATGCCCTGCAGCTTCCCGCACTTCACAGAGATTCACCCATTTGTGCCACCAGAACAAGCTCTCGGCTATCGTCTCATGTTTGAAGAGCTAGAGCATGACCTGTGTGAAATTACTGGCTATGACAAGATTTCATTTCAACCTAATAGGTGTGTGTGTGAAAATGTTTGTTTTTACATATATACAGAGCATGTATATATAATCTATACATGTATATACAGTAATCTGTATCTCTTTATCAGTATGTATCTATATCTCAAATATGTTAGGAAGATTTGCAGTAATATTTGAGTGGGAAAGTAAAAGGCTAACTGAGGGAGTCCACAACATTTCTAAGCTATGTTAATCATTGATGTGCTGTTATTTTATTATTTGCCCCACTCATCCATTGATATTCCTTCCATATTTAATAAGTATTTTGGAGAACAATCACCTCACTCAAGCAATTCCCCCCCCCCCTCCTTCTTTATATAGTATATCCATGTTTCTTTATCTCTATCTAAAGCTTCTTTTTGAGAGACATTTTTTTTCGAGATATATACAAGAGTTGTTACATTCTTGTACAGCCACTAGTAAGCGTAGCATTTCGGGCAGGTCCCTGGAATATGACCCCCACGAAGAATCGTTTTTACAACCACGTACCCATTTTACTGTCGAGTTAAACAGAGGCTACAGTTAAGGACTTGCGCCCGGTTCTTTTGTTTAGCCTTCTTCCCTACCACATCTATTGTATTGTTCATACACGATCTGCACGTTATCACGTACTAATTTTTGCCATATCTTAGCCATCATATGTCACCCTCCAATTCACCCAAATCATCTTTACTTTAAAATCCATCTACAGTATTCACATAACATGACCATACCTCTGTGACACACACACACACACACACATGAACACGCATGCACAGCTGTGCATGTTTCACTCACTCTTTCAAACTCTCGCACACACTCCCTCTCACTGTGAGAGTGAGTGAAGACTCGATCTCAAGACTCAAGGCTTGAATACCTCATAATCCTCCTCAGTGACCTTTGCAACTGTTTTAGCAGATCTAGTTTGAATTTATCCCACATGGTTGCTTTTTAAGTCATGGTTATATTAACCTTTCATTAGGATCTAGTGTAGTTTGGGGCAGTTAGACTTTCTGCACCAATGCAGTAGAGAACTTTTTTCTTGGGAGCCAGGTTCAGTGCTGTATCATCATCAGGTCGTCTTCTCTGTTAAATTCTAGGAGCGTTTCCTCTCCTGTTTGGTACATTCTCTTTGGCTTCCTGTTGCCATCACTTGGCTTATGTCTCTGTACTTTCAAGAGTTAAATGCTAGTAGGCACTTCTTGGACCATTCTTTATCTATAATGGGAGATGGGAGCATTGATGATAATCGCCTTGTATATCTCCATATATTTTCTCATTGTCTTCAAAGTTTCTGCTGTTTAATTATATTTAGCTGTCATTGGCTATTTGTAAAGAAATGTATAGTGCACATTCTTACCAATCTTCAGCTTTACAATAAAACCGATAAACATTTTTTCCCATATAGTGGTGCTCAAGGAGAGTATGCTGGTCTGCGAGCCATCATGTCGTACCTAGATGCTCGAGGAGAAGGCCATCGAAATGTCTGTCTGATTCCCACCTCTGCCCATGGTACAAATCCTGCTTCAGCTCAAATGGCAGGAATGAAAGTTGAAGCAGTCAATGTAGACAAGGAAGGATCCATTGACTACAAGCATCTTTCTGACAAGGTTCATATTGGTTTTCTTTTATAAATACTGAACAACGCAACGTCCAATATTTCTACCTTCTTATAATTAATATTGTCTATTTCATCTAAATAATGAACTGATTCTGCTATTGTATTGTTTAATCCAAAAATTTTATTCAATTGATTCTTTAAATAACGTTCACTGTGAAATCCAGATAATTGTTGTATGGTGTATAGTAATTTCCTGCAGATTCTTTTTGTTTTCTTTGCATGTGTGTGTTTTGTAGGGTTATTATTAACATTATTTTTTCAGGAAATACTGTAATATAGTATAAATATTGACCAGAATCTGGTTTGCTCTTCGAGGCACAGGGAAGCCTTGGAATCGTAGATAAACCCAAGCCCAGGAAAAAACTTGCCAGAAAGCATAGGCAAAACAAAACAGTGACTGTTTCAGTGAATGTAATCACTAAGTAAATGGGCAAGTGATTGTTGCTGCAGGGAAACCACCATAAGTGTGATGCACACGACCACCATCACGTGACACTCAAGTCACCCACAGTCCCAGCCTGCGTATTCTTGTACTTGTGGGCCAGCATGACAGAATTCCTTTCACTTGGTCTCTATTGGGCCCTCTACAGTTGGTCAACTAAGTGGAGTTGGTTTTCCCTGGAATTTTTGTTTTTATAGGGGGGGCAATTGCTGTATTTTATTTTAAATGTGATTGTGTTTATGCTACCCACATTGTGTATCTTATTTTATACTTCATTCCAACCATATCCTCTGGTTTGCAGAGGACCCTAAGGCTCTACCTTATAGGATAAGGATAAGGCTCTACCTTATCAGTTACTGTACGTCTATTCTAAGGGGGTTGAGCTTCCTCTTATACAAGTTTGATTCCACTTGAATCACTTTGCCTACAGGCCGTGCTTGGCTGACTTGCATTGGCCTTCAAATTCTTCGTCTTCTGGGGAATCTGCTTTCTGGCATTCCTCAACAACTGCCAGGTGCCTTGTTTGTTGGCCTGATGATCTGGTTCTTTCTCAGTTAGCGTACTGTGGTTTAATGGTCAATTAACATAAGTTCCAATTGATTCCTTTTGGGGTTCTGACTTGGATGGGCCTGCAATATACTTTTATAATTTTATAAAATTAATATCGATGGGCCAACCTGTGGGAAAGGTGGGGGTGGGGAGAAACTATCAGGATAAAGTGCCAAGCCATTACTACTATATAGTCCTTGAAAGGGATCAGGATAAGGATGTGGGATGGGACAGGAAAGAAGGCATGGTGCCCAACCACTTGGACGGTCGGGGCTTGAACGCTGGTCCTGCATGAAGCGAGATCCAGCTCTACCATCCAGCCCAAGTGGTTGGGCTGGTTGGTAGAGCCATCTTATTACAATAATAGTCTTTCCTGTGAAGAAAGACAATATTGTAATACGATTGAAAATCTGGTGGTCGGTTTTCAGTGGTCACAACTAGAAGAGTTGGACCATGAAAATAGGTATAGAGTGTAGTGCTTTAAGAATAAATTGTCGTTTAGTTTAAATTTATAATTTGACTAACATTAGTGGAAATTTTGCTAAATAGAAACTTTTTAAAATGTCATGTTTAGCTATATAGTCCAGGATTACATTTTTTCAGCTCAAGAAACATCGAGAAAATCTAGCATGTCTGATGATCACATATCCTTCCACAAATGGTGTGTTTGAGGACAATGTAAAGAACGTGTGTGAACTGGTTCACGAAGCCGGTGGTCAGGTATGTGTATTTAATCTAATGCTTTATTCTATTAGTTTCTGTTCTGTTTTGGTACCTGTGCTTATTCCTGTATCTGTTGCCTTTTATATTATACATAATTGTCCTATCTTATAAAGAGCAACTTAAAAAAAATCCGAACCTCAATATGTTATCAATAATCTACACGGGCTTTGGTGCCAAATAGTGTAATCTAGAAGGCTCGCCTATGTGTATATAGCTGTTCTGAAGCATTCATTTCTCTTGCACTAAACTTCAAATTTAACACCATGAGTTGACCGAAAGTCTCCTGACAGGTGTATCTTGATGGTGCTAACATGAACGCTCAAGTTGGGTTGTGTCGTCCTGGGGATATTGGTTCCGATGTCTCCCATCTGAACTTGCACAAGACTTTCTGCATTCCTCATGGTGGTGGTGGTCCTGGCATGGGCCCTATTGGAGTGTGAGATATCTTACCATTTCTTTCTCAAAACTTGTGAATAGGGGAACATGCATGATAACTGTTATGTATTGTCATTATTAAAAAAATTAGAGTAGGAAATGGAAGAATTTAAGATATTGAAGACAAATGTTCTTTACATGATGTAGTAAGGTTATTTGTGAAAGTTATTTTATTTCACATGGCCAGTAGATAAGTCTTGCTTGTTTAAGGTTTATTCCTGAGGCCAGAATCACGAAACAGTTACGCAAGCACTTACGAACCTGTACATCTTTTCTCAATCTTTGGCGGCTTTGTTTACAATTATTAAACGGTTAATGAGCTCTGAAGCACCAGGAGGCTGTTTATAACAATAACAATTGATGGGGAAGTTTCATGCTTCAGATATGGAACCATATCTGTCAACTGTTTAATAAATGTAACCAAAGCTGTCAAAGATTGAGGAAAGATGTACACGTTCGTAAGTACTTGCGTAACTGCTTCATGAATCTGGCCCCTGGTTTTCAAAACTTAATACTGATATAAGTTTGTTCCACAAGTATGGATTAGCCTTGAAATTTGATACCATGCTGCAGGTTTTGTTCTGAACCTGAGCTGGCTCAATCCTGCTGAAAATTTGGATTAAACTGATACAGCACTTTCTTTTGCTATTTAGTAAGCGCCATCTGGAACCATATCTGCCCAGTCACCCCATTGTGGATCCGATGGCACTGATGCAGAAGCGAGCTCGTAGTTTTGGTGTTGTTTCTGCTGCCCCTTATGGCTCTGCAGCCATCCTTCCCATCTCTTGGGCATATGTTAAGGTGAGAGAAAAATGAGGGGTAAAACTATATTATTAAATTATAGACATTTTCAAAGTGAAATGTAGATAATTGCACGTTAACAAATAATTAGAATATTCATATATGAAATTTAGTTCTGTTGCATGAACAGCATCTATCTCTTTTTTTTTTTTCTTCTATCTATCAGATGATGGGCCCTAAGGGATTAAGACAAGCAACCCAGGTTGCCATATTGAATGCAAATTACATGGCCAAACGTCTTGAAAAACATTACAAGGTACAGTACAGTTGATCTTCGGAAAGTGTCGACTTTTAGATAACAAAATCATGTATTTTAACACCATAACAATTCATAGCTTCAATACGATTCGTGTGGTGCCAAAGCGGCACTGGTATTGTGTTTTTTTTACACTTGAATATATTTTTCATTGTCACCGTTCACAAACGTACAACTCCTGCTGCACTTCAAAATGCCCTAATGAAGTAATGAAACGAAATGCTTTCTTATGTCCTTTATTAATAATGTTAGGTCAGTAGAAAACTGGTATCTAATGAAAGACTACAAGACTGCATTCCTCATATTTTTGTTATTTACAGTAATATTTAATTTGCTACCACTTAGCCTTTAGGTTATAACAGGCCCCTTTCGCTTATACAGGTGGTTGTAAAGCAGAAAATAGGGTACAATATACAATAGTGTTACATTAATTAAAGTATTGCAGTTATACCCAGCTGATCGACTGCTAAACACAACATAAACGTGATTTTTTTTTGTTTTTTTTAAGTTGCTGTGATTGTAAGTAAACAGAATCGGTCAAAAATCCAAAATTAATACAAAAGTTAATTTTGTAAAACAAAAACTAAATACCTGCAATATATGTCTTGCACACTTAAATAGTAATGATTACAAATGAAGCAAAACCAAACACAAATTATAGCTCAGTTACTGACAATAAAATAAAATAAAGAAAAAACAAGTTATATTACCAAACCCACAATTCTTACCAAACTGCTGGAGTAGTTTCTTAATACCAGTGAAGTTTCAACTTGCACTAGATGAGTGCCCAAAACTGACTGATGTTTGGTGGATAGGCTACCCCTAGCCTAGCCCAGCTCCCTAACCTACCCCTCCCTACACCACTCGTCTCCTCGCCCCCTCTCTGGGAGCGGGTGGCATGGCCCATAACCACTCATGTTTGTCATCAAATAGCGAGCCACAATTAAGGTAGGGAATGAAAGCCACACAACAATGAACATATAAGAACGCAGTAATATATAATTCTTATTCTGTATTTTACCGTTATGTTATATACTGTATATGTACATAATAAGGGCATATGAACCTCTGAGTTGATGATAGACTGCTATGGGAAAGCCAGAACTCGTACACAGTGTGTTGATGTGACAGTATTAAGGTGAATAAATTAATAACTGTTAACTCTGCAGGTTTTGTATCGTGGCAACAAGGGGCTGGTTGCTCACGAGTTCATCCTAGATATGCGTGAATTTAAGAAGACTGCAGGCATTGAGGCTACAGATGTAGCTAAACGTCTTCAGGATTATGGTAAATATGTTTTATTTATAATGTACATGGCGTTCTCCCTCTGTTTGCTGTTTATAATTACAGTACATTGTATCTTCTCTTAGCTGGCTTACCTACCCTCAAATATTTTCTGTTTATGTATACAGTACCTCATAATGATGCATATAATTCTTAAAACTGTTTCTGCAGTCTGAATTAGCATGATAACTTCCACAGGTTTCCATGCACCTACCATGTCATGGCCAGTGGCAGGCAGCCTCATGGTGGAGCCAACAGAATCTGAAGACAAGGCAGAACTTGACAGGTTTTGTGATGCTATGATTTGTAAGTACAATACTGTATGTAGTTATGTTCTGTATGGTGTGTATAGAGAAAAATCGGGACTGAATAATACCTGTGAGGTACTGGACTATCTAAGAATAGTGGTAGTTAGTAGCTACAGTATACTGTAAAGTTAAGGTTTCAAAACTATTTTAGCTACATATTTTACTTCACATTACTGGATGCATCTAAATTATCCTTCAATTGGCACTAATAGTTTTTATTTCTGTTGCAGATTTGCATTTTAGTTAATGACTTCAAAAATGGCATTGTACCGAGAAATATATCATGTGTAACGATGCCGATAGTAGATAGAAATAGGTGAATAATAAACATAATATTGTCTTTATATACATTTAGAAATTTCCTTTAGTGTGTATCGTGAACTTCAGGTTTGCCAGTAAGAACTTCTGGTCATGTAGCTTGGGATTATTTTACATTAATTTTTTCAATAGTTTTACAGACATAACACTACCATAAGTATATGTTGATCATGCTATTAATTAGTATTGTCGTTTTACAGCAATACGAGAAGAAATTAGAGACCTTGAGGAAGGTAGGAGTGATCCAGCATGCAATCCACTGAACATGTCGCCTCATCCACTAGTTACTGTGATATCGTCAAAGTGGGACAGGCCATACACACGAGAAAAGGCAGCCTTCCCTGCTGTAAGTAAACTTTGTGGTGTTTGGGTAACTTGTGAGGAGGGAAAATACAAATATACATTTGTAAACATGCTAGTTCTTGGATATAGGATGTTACATATGACCTTAAAATGCTTTAGTACAACACCTCGCAATAATTGTGTGTATGAATGAGACATTGTGTAGATATCACATGAACAATTGTTGATTTAGAATACTTAAACAATTTCACATCATTGTGTATGTAAATGTTTACAGTAATCATAATTATAATTAATTTTGTTACAATAATAATACAGTATTATACACTTGTGTTCAAAAATGCTACATTAAAATTATTACATGATTTTTTTTTTCCAGTCATATATCCGGCCTGAGAGTAAATGGTGGCCAACGGTGGGTCGCATAGACGACATATATGGTGACCGCAATCTCGTTTGTACATGTCCTCCAATGGAGGCTTACAGCTCGCCATATGAAGAATAATTATTGTAATATTGAATATACAGTTGTATTATTTTTTTTAGCATGCTGTACACAATTTATTGTTTTTGTCACATTTTAAAGTGGAATTTATTTACTGTTAGCAGTGAAGCAACAAAATGCCAAATCCCAGGGCTTGGCAAACACGCCCTGCCTTTTAGACGGTATTATTCACACCTGTGGAAAGAATAAATGGGATTTGGCTTTGTGTTAATTGAAGCTCTTAACAATGCAGTACTATATACAGTATAGCTAAGAATTATTGAACACATTTTTCTTGAGCACTTCACCAGCAGGATTTTCATTAATTTATTACAGAAACCTTAGATAACTTTCCTTTTTAATTTACTAAAAGCAAAATAAATAGCGTGTCACATTACTGATAATACTATGCCTATTTGATACACATTCTGTGGAGAGTTTTTGGTCTTATATATACAATATGTACATTGGTGTGAGGGCAAGGAAAAGGTGTTGCTTGGTTTTTGGAGTGTGCAATGTTAAACTTAATCCAGCTTTTACTCATTTGGTTGGTACAGAGGTATTTAGGAAGAAAATGATGAGATTTGCTGGTGGATGGGCAAGGTTAAGATTTGTTTGAAGTATATAGATGAACGATTGGCATATGCTACCCTGTTAAGAAAATGGCTTAATGGGTATGAATTGGCATTTGTTTTATCTATGTAAAGATTTATTTATTTATTAATCTGAAAAATTAGTTATGCTGAATTAGTTACTTGCATTAATATTCTAGAAATCGTGTACACGAGTACCCATTATAGCTTGGGGAGAACGCTTCTCGGCTTGCAAGCTAATTGTTTATTGAATACCTGGAAAGGTTCACAAGTAAGGTTTAATTAATGTTTTGTTAAGCGTAAAGTTGAGGGGTAGCAAAGATTACATTTATTATATATTGTTGAGGTTTTGTGCTTATTAGTTTTTATATTTTTGTAATTGGGTCTTTGAAGTCCAGGTGCGAATAATCATGTTAGATTTATAATGAATAGAGTACAGCTCAGTGATTGTTATTCATGGAGACCTGATCATTGACAATCTTGTATATACCAATATTATGTAGACAATGTTTGTTCAAGACCTGTTTAATGGAGTTAGGCACATTTTCATGTACAGTGGAACCTCCATTATGCAAACATGGAATTTTTAGGTTTCCATCCCCGCTCACTGAAGCATGTCTTGGTAATGAGGTGGTTAACTCCATTATCTACAATACAATACAATTTTATACAATACAATTTTATTTAGGTAAGGTACATACATACAATAAATATTTACAAGGATTGTTTAACTTATAGGTATAGCTAGTACATACAATGCCTACAATGCTTTTGCATACAATACAACAATGCCAATGCATACAATGCTATCTATAAAATCTCGGCATAATTCAGAGGTGTAGGATACTTGTTCTTGCCAAATAACACAATTATTTAATTGGTTTCCTACATACATTGATGCATTTCTATTAAAGCACCATAACTTTAGAGCACATCTCCAATATACTGTACTACCTAAAAAAAAAAAAAGAATTACATCTAGGTTTCCAGTTATCTGAACATTTAAAGGTTTACCAATTCGTCGAGACAATTGAGGTTGCACTGTGCTTTGGTGCAAGGTCAGTTTAAGGTTTATAGTCACAAAAGCTAAATTTTAATTATGACCTTGACTTGGTAGGTAATAAGAATAAATTGTAATTCAAATAAGGTTTAAATCTTAGTCTTGTGCAAGAAGTTATTAGCTGCACTTGTATGTTGTAAATGCTGAATGGTCTGCAGGATGAAAGACAATTTAAAGATTTGACAAACTTGGAGTACCTCTGATTAAGAGAATTTAAGAGAACCAGTTGTAAATTATTTTTATGCCAGTATTTCATCACTGTCTTGGATAAACACTGTGCAATCAGTTTCTGGAATATATTTATCAAATGGTTTATAAAATTTCTTATGCATGTGGAATAAAATGAAAGTTTTTAATACTTGTAATTATATACCATCTTCAGCAAAATTGTGATCATAGGTTACAACTTACCATGTATCCAATATTTCCTGAACTTGTTCAAATGTTCAGACTCACTTTGAGTGATGGTAACTCTAGGACTGTACAGTTAGTAAGTAAGTAAGTAATTATCAAAAGAAGGCACCAAACCGGGAAGGCTATGTAGCACCATCAAATACGCAAAATAATCAGAGGGCGCTAAATATCACCAAGGATGCCAATACGAGAACAAAAACGCATAAGGCGAACGATATCAAAAGTATCCGAGTCACCAAGAATTCTATCGAGGGACAGGCGACCGCGAGGGGCGGTCGGAAAGCAAGACACACGCTCGTCCTGGAAGTCAGGACAATCAAGAAGGACATGCACGACCGTAAGAGGGACAATGCAACTAGGACAATAAGGAGCAGGGCGGCACTCCATCAAGTGACCATGGGTTAAGCGAGTATGGCCAATACGCAACCTCGCCAGAGCTGTATCCCACCGCCGGTTACGGTGGAAGGAGGACGGCCACGAGGAAACACAACATTTAAGAGTACGTAGCTTATTACCAGTAACAGACAACCAAGAAGCCTGCCAACGGGTAAGGACTGAGGAATGGATAACCGGGTAAAAGTCGGAATACAGAATGCCTTTACGAGAGATGGGACGAGCGGACAGCTTCCTTGGCGGCAGCATCCGCACGCTCATTTAAAGACACGCCAATATGGCTGGGAACCCAACAAAACTCAACCGACTTAAATTTACTGTGAACGAGAAACAGCCAATGCTGGATCTCGACAACTACCGGATGAACTGGATTAAAGCACCCGAGAGCCATGAGGGCACTACGAGAGTCAACAACAACCACAAAGGAAGACTGACAACGAGAAAGCAGGAGACGAAGAGCATAGAGAATAGCATAAAGTTCCGCTGTAAAGATGCTAGTCTCCGGAGGCAAGCGACACATAAGTGCGATCAGGAAAAACAACAGAGTAGCCAACACCGTCCGCTGACTTAGACCCATCGGTGAAGACAGAAACGGAGCGGGAGTGAGAAGAAAAGTGCTCGAGGAAAAGGCGTTTTAGAACTGTAGGAGGGGTAAAAGCTTTAGTGATACGAGTCAAGGACGTACAAAACCGCGGAAGAGGGACCCTCCACGGGGGCAAAGAAGGAACAACACGAGGAGAAACATCAGAAATACGAACGGAAAGAGAATCCTGCAGGCGAGATAACCGGACAGAAAGAGGGAGGTGGTGAAGAGGAACAGGAACCGCAGGAGGGGTAAAAGTTAAAGCACGACAGAGACGAGAGGAAGGATGTTGCAAGGACCGCGCAAGATAGCGAAGACAGTAGCGATCACGGCGGTCCTGGAGAGACAGGAAGCCAGTGTCAACATACAAGCTAAGGACGGGAGTCGAACGAAAGGCACCAGAACTGAGGCGCAACCCAGTATGGTGCAAAGCATCAAGACGGCGAAGAGTAGAAGGAGAAGCAGACGAGTAAGCAGGGCAACCATAATCGAGGATTCTTTATGAAACTATGCAACTATTCACTTTGTTTTTCCATAATTTGTACATAGGGACAAGAATTCAGTGGCTAGTGCATTGTTGTTAATTGTGAAGTCCTCGGCCTTTCCTCATAAGGAAAGTTTTATAGTTTTTTGGATAAATTGTCAGTCTGAACCAAACCTATTCCGGTGTAGTTCTGACAGTAGGCAGGGTCTGTATACAGTACTTGGATTTAGTGGGTTTGCTGAGACCATGTTACAAAATAGTCCATCCATTCCTGCCATTAGCATTACCTCAATTTTTTTTAATGTGTTCATTTGAAGAGTTCTTGCACACTCGTAAATTGATAATCAACATAAAGTACTGCAAGCACACAAGAGATAACCCAGTGATTGGAATTGGACACAGGCACACATGTTAATCACCTATGATACTATGCACTTTATTATGATCATAAACAAGAGCAGCTTAAAACTTTAGGTAATTACTTGGGTAATTACCAAGTGTAGTTACAAGATGAGAACTACGCTCGTAGTGTCCTATCTTTCCAGCACACTGTCACACAACGCTTTGAAACTACTTACTTTGGCCTTCACCACCTTCTCACCAACTTGTTCCATCTGTCTATCTCTCGGTTTGCAAAAATGAATTTTCTTATTTCTTCGACAGCTTTGCTTCATTGTCAATAATGTCATTGAACAATTGCTACCAGCCTCAATGTCGCTTGTCCTTACGTTCAGGTATGAGATCCAGAACTGGGCATTTCAGGAGCTATTTTTGCAAGTAATACTTAAGGCATGGCAATGCAAGGAGAAACCTAGGCTGTGCTATATTCCTTCTTGCTGATACTGTGCCTCGCAAGAATTTCCTGTTAATCATTAATCATGATTTTAGGCTAATTGTACTGCACCATAATTTAGCAAAGTGGCCACTATGCTCTGAAAAACACAGGCGTGTCAGTTTGGTTTTTGTTCATAATGATGTAAATTCCATGTTTTGGTAGTAAATGTAGGTGTATTAAAAAAAAAAAAAAATATAGAATAACTTATGCTGCAAAAAAATGTCAAAGTTGGGAACAGATTATTTTTTTTCCTTCTCCATTGTGGTTTGGAATTCTTTAAGTCTTTCCCTTGTGTGTGTTGCTTTTGTCATTTTAGAGGTGGCCAGGGCTAATTCCAGATGGTTTTAAGTTCAAAAGATTTTAGAGGTCAGCCTTGTCATGTCTGTCTGAAAATTTTATCTCCTAAATCTAAACTTGTCCTGCTAAGCTACAGTATATACATAGTACCAGCTTTAATTATATATATGTATATATACAGAAACACTTAAAAGGAGCTCACAAAGTACATCAAATAACTGAAAGGATACAGTTCTAGATCTTTACCTCAAAACTTATTCATCCATATACCAGTTATTCTTAATTAAGAATCTTTAAATACAGCATCTATAATTAAATTATCCTTAACATTGTATGTGCTTGCTTTACAAAAACACTGTTTACACATCTGTGTACATTTAATGGGACATCATATGCAGACAATGAGTCGCAATAACGTGGCTTAAGATATGATGACCAAACCACACATCAGAAAAAGAACCCACGACGTCTTGGTTCATCCTGGACCATTATTAAGTAGTGTGATAGTCCATCACACTACTTTATAATGGCCCAGGATGAACCAAGACGTCGTGGTTTCTTTTTCTGATGTCCCATGATGACCAAACTACCAATCATACTATGCTAGTAATGACATTTGTAGTTTTATATGTATAGCATTTCAGTATAAACAAGAATGGTTCAGAAAGCACTCATTGACATCACCCATTTTTTTTTAGTGTAGATTAACCATTTGATATCTGATGAGTTTTGTTCCCAAATAATGATCACAATTGAATTATTGATAGTAACATTACTATCATTAACTACAAAAGTTTGAGGTTTAAAAAATTCTAAGTATTTTTATAATGCAGTATGAAAGGTTGACTTACAAAATATTTTAGCCATTTGTGGTTTAATCTCCATCATAATCTATTGAAACATTGTATACACAGTACACTGAACAGGATGTGCTTGGCATCATAGTCAATATGAGTCAAGCAATTATCAAAGAGTGGCGCCAAGCTGGGAAGAATATTTAGCACAATATATATGAAAGCAAGCTAAAGCTAAAGGTCTATTAATAATATAAGAGTTAGGGCCACCACAATAGCTTAATAACCAACTAGCCAGTATATTTTAATTTAGTTTTTGTACATTTCAAGACTAAACATTATAGATACAGAGAAGCAGAGTACACCTTTTTATATAGATGAGGCAATCATTAAAAATACTAAAATCTATATGCATTACACTTACTAATATTGTATACATTCTACATAAATGTAAAATACAAAACATCAAATGTTCTACACTAACAAATTAATGACATTGGGGAAACAAGAGGAATGTATTGTGGATGAGGGGAGACCTCTATATAAGCCTGACGTGTATGAATACACTGACTGCCTGTCCGACACAATGAATTATAATTATATTTACAAAAATAACTAAGCCAAATTAGGAATACATTATTGTGGTTCAGTACATTACAGTATTTTAAATTTATACATAATCTTAAAATCAATCGATGAATATTATAGGATGCGAGTGTTTGAAATGTATGCTTTTACTGTACATATTTATACTTTAATAGCATTCAAAAGTGCAAACCAAAACCTCAGAAAGTTTTGTTGTATTTTGTCCATACTTCCTGCTGAATACTTTTTTGGGGTCAATAAGCAAATTATTATAAGTGTTTACAGGACAAACTTCTACTAGTGGCCTCGATGAGGACAAGAAGCCTGCGGCTTGTCAAAGATCGTCCCCCCCCCCCCATTTGCCCAGATCTTTACCAGCTGAATTTTAAAACCCAGCAGTGTTTTGGCATTTACGGCTTTTGGCAGGTGGGCAGTTCCACGGGTTTATAACCCTATGGGTGAAAAAGCATTTCTGTCCTACATTGTGGCTTGTTGAGCTTGAACTGTTTCTCCTCGTTCCTATTGCATCTAACCTTTTGATAAAATTGTCTGGATCTACAGCCTCCAAATTGTTCAGTATTTTAGAGGTTTCAATGAGATCTGCCCTGATTCATGCCTGGCCCTGTGGCCCTCAACTGTTCCTGATATGCGAGATGACTAGGTAGGGCTCTGGTATAATTTTGTTGTTGTTTGGTGTTGCACCGTCTCCAGAGCAGCTATGTCTTTCTGAAGATGAGGTCTCCATGTCTGGATGCAATAATCCAGGTGGGGGTGCACCAAAGACTTGTACAATTGAATGACTTGCCTTTACTTTCAAGGAAAAGAAAGTATGCTTTATTATTTGTTCCCAGGGTTTGGTTTGCTTTTTTTTTTTTTTTTTTTTTTTTTTTTTTTACTGCTACTCCCACTTTTTGCAACTTTCAGTGAATGATGTACTCTGACTCTAAGGTCCTTTTCTTTACCTATCTATTGTAAGGTAATGCTGTCAATATGGTAGTTGTGACGTGAATTATGCCCCACATGCAAGGTCTTGCATTTAATAATGAAAAAGCATTTGCCAGTCATCTGACCATTTGCAGAGTTCATATAGATCTTGAAATGTCTATCACTTTCACCATAGATCTTAGTGTCATTTGAAAATTTGATGTGGTTTGTAAAATTCTCATTGTCATTTATGTATACGACAAAAAGGGTTGGCCCCAAAATGAACCCCTGTGGTACCCGACTTAACACATTTCCTCAGTGAGATTCATTCCCGTTTAGTACGACCCTTTGTTTTCTATGTTTTAACCATTGTTTTATCCATTCAGTATTTTCCCATTTATTCCATGTGCCTGTAATTTCCTTGCCAGTCTCATGGAGTACCTTGTCAAGAGCTTTAGCAAAGTTCATGTAAGCTACATCTTCCGGAAGTCCTTTGTCTGAATAGCTGGTTACCGTTTGCAGAAATGTGAGAAGTTAGTAAGGCAGGATTTAACAAACCCAAATTTAACAAACTTGCATAAAGTACTCTTAGTGTTTTGTCACTTCCTATTTATCCAGATTTTACATCTTAGGTCAGAACTTAAAAAAATATGCCATAATATAAAATACTCAGTATTCACCAGTTCAACTTTCCTGACTATTCTTGGACATTTGTACAATAATTCTGTAGGCCAGATCTTGCAAGTCCTTTTTGCGTTTGTTGGCAACTTCTATGACCTGGGGGAAGAAAGAAAATTATATATATTTGTAAATTTAACTTAAAATGCAAAATATGCATTACACATTATACACTAATTAGTAAAGCCCAAATTCTCACCTCCTCATGGTTGGCTTGTGCATCCGTGTCGTAATGGGTGATACATTCGTTTGTGATCAGTGAGAAGGCAAATACTTTCAGTCCACAATGTCGTGCTACCACAACCTAGGAAATATGATTACTTCAGTACATATGAAAATTCGTGGGAAATTATATCAATGTTAGTAAAGCTTTAGTTTTATAATGTATTTCAAACTTTTAAAAAGAAACCTTAAGGCCTTGTATATACATTTATAACTTTGTCTAATACCTTCTCCTGGGTACCTCTCCTTCCTTGCAAGGTGTACCCAGTAGTATATACTACTAGTACTAGCTAATGCCGGAGAAGTGTGAATCGTGCCAATTCACAACCAACACTGGCTTAGCAATTTCAGATTTATGGAGAATAGGGGATAGGTGCTACATCAGGGACAAATTTGCCAACAATCATTCAATGTCTTTACACTAACAGAAGAGACAGTGTCTCCATCTCCCAATCAGCTGCACTAAACAAGGGATAATACTGTACTAATGGTAGTTTCTATGCAAACATTTATTACATAATACCTTAACCCACATCAGTCTTGCAGGATAAAAGTAACTATGAAAAGGTTGCAAACTTGTGGGTACCCACCTCAGGCACTGTGCTCATTCCCACAGCATCCACTCCAAGTAGTCTCAGGAGACGGAGTTCAGCAACAGTCTCATAGGTGGGCCCACCGAGCATGACATAAACACCTTCTTGAACTACATTTGTTAGATTCATTTCAGCAACAATCTTCTTTGCCATCTCACGGAGATTCTTGTCGTACGCATTGTTCATGGCAGGGAAGCGAGGGCCAAACCGTTCATCATTCCTGCCTCTCAGTGGCGAGTCTCCAGCAAACCCCTAGAAGATGTATATCTTATGTGTTAGATCAAAAGGGATGCCTCTAATGCCACATACTTGCTAAACTGGTGGCTACATAATAAAATGACTCAATCTTCATAATTTTACTACAAATTAAAAAAAAAAAAAAAAAATTGTACTCTATTTTCCTAACTTAAAACTCCCTTATTCCTAGATTAGGTTTAAAGACAAGGGTATATTTACCTTAATATGATAAACTTGGTTGTTGATAAAGATGCATAAACATTTACAGTAGCAATATTTGATTCTATATATAAAATGGCCTAGTTTGCTTTATGAAATACACAGTACAGATACGAGGCCCCTCATCCAGACTTCTTTTATGACTGAAAAACCACATCACTAACATAATATCTTTCATGTACTATACTTATTCAATTCATATGGGAGATTTATTGTATTTGTACAAAATTTTTTATTTTTCAAGGACCAATGTTAAAGCTGGTCAAATATGCCCATTTTATGGCCATTTTTATAGCAACTGATACAAGTGGAATTGGGATTTTTTTTTTTTTGGGGGGGGGGGGTTTATGTATAGAGTGAAATGAGTGATTATTCTCAAACCTTGTTATCGCTTGACTCTGTCGTTTAGAAGCTATGATGAAGTACAAGGAACATTTTGCCTGCTACAGTGCAATTAGAAAAATACCATTTCCCTCCTTATTTACCATTGTTAATATTCCTATTACTGTGTTAAGCCAAATTAACAAATTTGTCAATAATTGAATTAATTAGATTACAGTATATTGAAGCTGTCTTTAATAAGGTTCCTAAAATATTAGGGTAAGTAACGTGTTAAATTTTAATTGTTTTGTCTAGCCTATGTGGATACCAGTGTTGTAGTATATCAGGTTTCCAGTTTTCATTATTACCGATTACTCATTACAGGCAGATGAAAGCAGCACATAAATGCAACCTAAAGGTCTTCTGTTATGTTATTACCAATATGAAATCCATTTTCGTCTATCAGAATTACCACTATAAAACAAATTAAATATAATTTTGTACAATTGCTTAGAGGAAGTAATGTTCACAAATACTGTACACCTTAATTAAGCACACTGGCTACTTTGGCTAAGTATGTACTGTGTAATCAAACCATAGTTTATTACATACAAAACATTTAAATTATCCACTTTTAGTTACTATGATTTTTTTAAACATTAATTATCCACTTTTAGTTACTATGATTTTTTTAAACATTTTTAATTCACGAAGGAAAGAAATATCACACAGTACTCATTAAGTCATGATGAGGTCCCAACTCCATGTAGTAAACTTTGGTAAGAAGTCAAACTTTCAACTATAGCAGCCTACGGTACAAATATTTCCGTCACATTTACTCAAGAATGGACAAACAGAATGATATGAGCGACTGATTTATACTTAAGTCAATCGATTTATTACTTACTTGCATATTGATGTGATCCTTAATAATCATGATGTCACCAACTTTGAAATTTGGGTTGAGGCCTCCGGCTGCATTGGTGACAACGATCTGCTCAACACCCATCAGCTTCATCACTCGTACCGGCATAGCACACTGTAGAGGCAAGATTCTTTGTTTGGAATGCCAGGTAGCTATTAGTCACAGTATTATACTGAAAGCCACAAAACTATTATTCTGACTAACACTAATTATACTAAATTGTCATCCACATTTCCATGGAAATAAACATTTCATTCCCCTGGGCTCTAGGACACTCGAACTGCAGACCCCACGCGTGTGACGCTGAAGCTTTATCAACTGGGCTATTGAGTAGTCTTAATAAGGAAAGATCCCAGGAGTTAATTACAGCTGCCAAACTAGAATTTTCAACTTTCCCTCACTATTACTGAAGCCCAAAGGAAGTGATCTATGCCATATAAAGTAAAATATTCCAGCTTGGCAGCAGTAGTAGTTTCTGGAATCTTTCCTTATCAAGACTATTCAACAGCTCTGTCGATAGAGCTTCGGCCTCCTACCCGAAGGGTACACTGTTCGAGTGTCAGAGAGCTCAGGTGATTAATTATATTATACTGACTAAAAACAATATCTGGACTGCAGCAAACTGGAAATAAATCTGTTTAGATAAATACCCTACAGTATACCACTCAAGTTTGATTTTATTCATACACCTATTCAACACTTGCATAAACTTTCATTGACCTTCTTGGCTTCTCTATTTAGGACTCCAATATTTACAATTTACTTATACTCTATTATGAATAGTTAAAAAGAAACCTACTTGTATGTGAAATTAGGCTTATGATAAATTAATACCTAAAACCTTTTCTTATACGCACCTCAAAATTTACAAATCAAGAATATACTTTATATAATACTGTTGTATACAATTGATGACAAAGCCTGTTATGCGTATCAAGGTCCTTTCCCCTCCCTCTTTGCCTTGGAAAAGGCTGTCTGTGTAATTGTTCATCAAATTAAAAGGTCAAAACCAAATACATGTATGCTCAACTACTGTACAGTACTTAATTGAAAATTTTAGTGAGGAGTATATTCAAATTCATTAATAAAGGATTTACTATTTCAAAATTACAGTATCATTAATTCAGCAACGCGTGTTTATTATACAATGTAGCTTGCAGGTTTTTAGTTTCCCATTGTCGGAAAGGAGGCTTACTGAACCCCCCTCCCCCCTGCCAGCCCTCCCCAGGGCAACTACTGACCTTCCCCAGAATGCAACCCCACAACAGATGTCTAATTCATGGATACCTATTTACTAACTGGTGAACAGGTACATCAGGTGAAAAAAAAAGTATCCTGCTTAACAGTGTATACAGTATTGTTAGTAATACTACTAGCCATTAGGTTTACCATAATTACATTCAAAATTATTACAAATGTAAAGTGTTTCTCTGAATACTTATTATTAAATGTGGGAAAGAAAACAATTGAGATGAAATGCAGATTACCTTCCAGAGAGGATAACCTTCATAGGAATGGAAGCGTCCCTGCATGCACATGACTGGAACACCAGAGAGACGCCCTATGACCATCCTGCCTGCATGGCCAGCCACAGTTGACTCCGGGAAGTTGGGGATATTCTGATAAGGGAACACGTCCCTATCATCCAGGGTGTCTGCTAGACCACCTAATCAGAGAAAAGTCTTTTATAGGATTTGCAGTTTATAAACCATGTACATAAACTGTACTGTAGGCCTGTAACCTTTATATATTCAGAACATTGTTGTCCTCTATCCTGGACAGAGGGAACAAAGCATTTTGATTATTCTAACTCATTTATGTTTCCATCTTTATTAATTTTCTCTACATCAATAATGTCATTCATCAAGTGCATGTCAACAATGACTGAACTGCTGAGAGATGGCACTGGGAGAAAATGTGAAGCAAACACGTTTAAAGCACATCTTGTACACCCTGACTTGTCAACCTTCTCTAGCATGCTCCTCTTCTTCTCCACTGCCCCCCCCCTACCCCTCTCCAATGGCTCTCATACCCCTCTCCACTCCCCCCCCGCCCCTCTCCACTCGTCCCCCGCCCCTCTCCACTCGTCCCCCGCCCCTCTCCACTCGTCCCCCGCCCCTCTCCACTCGTCCCCCGCCCCTCTCCACTCGTCCCCCGCCCCCGCCCCTCTCCACTCGTCCCCTGCCCCTACTCGTCCCCTGCCCCCACCCCTCTCCACACCCTCTTTTTCTCATCTTTCTACTTCACACTCCACCCGTTTGTACACAAATTTTTTTTCTTCACATACTTGCTCCTGTTGAAAGCAAGTCAATATACATTTATAAAAACATTTTATTTGACAAAATAAAATGTAGTATTGTAGATATATATTTATCTCCAATACTGTACTGTATAAAAACAAAGCTAATTATATTCTCTCTTACTCACCAAGACCAGAACCACAGATAACTCCAATCTTGGGCCTGTGTCGAGTTCCAGAAAGCAGGTAGTCGGCACTCTCCTTGATTACTTCGTAAGGGTACCTGGAAAAATTGCACTTATTAAGCCCAATTTAGATTATGCAGGGATAAAAGGGTATAACAAACAGGAAATTAAGAGGCAGCTAAATATATAGATAAAACAATGAATACAATTTAAATTAATCATGGTAATGTACGAAAAGAGCTGGGTAAACAATTTGCAAATAGGGTTGTATATGTATGAAACAGGTTGCCAGGTAACATAAAAAGATGGGGAAGGGGGATGCTGGATTGTGTCAAGCATGGGTTAGACATACGAGTGGATGTGGCTGGATAAAATAGGACCAGACTCCCATGGGTCAATAGGCCTTCTGCAAGGTCTTCTTTCATTTGTTCTGACGTTCTCTCAATGACAACTCAGCTGTCATCAGAGAAGAACTCTTAAGTGAATTTGAAAAAATACTAACCCTTTTGCCATAGCCCACTAGATGGGTATGAGGCTTCAATAAACCAATTGCAGTAAACAAAGCTACAGCAACTCGACCTGTAAATACCGTTGTTGATAAAATACCTGGTAAACTAGTTCACCAATGCTGTAACTTGATTAACTAAAATACCAAAATTCTTTTCCTAAGTTCATTATATATCTGAAAACCTTTTCACTGGGAGTCACGTTATATTCATAGGGTGCATAATAGATGCACGTACTAAACTAAATATTAAATGTCACATCTTGAAGGCTACAAATATCCCTGGAAACTTTGTACAAGTATCTATCATAAAATGTAGTGTAGACAAAGGCAGAATCAGACACTTTTAGTGTTATGTTACCATCATTATAATGAAATGTGTACAGATAAATAAATAAATGTCAAACATCCACTAAGGTCTGACTAAGATCTTTTGCATCCCATTAACAAAATCCAAACTATTGTGTGACACTAAGGTGCTAAAAGACACAGAAAATACAATATTCATCTGTTAGATACAAAAACCTCAACAAAAGCCCATATCAGTGAAACAAATTGCCTGAAATAGTAACACAGAGCAGCAGCATAACTTACGGGATCTCTTCTCCAATGACAACTTGCTCCAGGCACATGCTGCCTCCACCAGAAGCCAGTGCTTGTAGCTGCTCTCGGTTGCTGCTGGGGTAGTAACAGTTGGGAATAAGCTGGGTTAATGCCATTATACATTGTCAACTACTTATATAATTCATCTTTGGTATGGATGAGAAGGTTTTTACATTTTTCAAGACTTAAACTACTTTTAAGATAGAAAGGTTCTGGTAGTACAGTTGGGTTCAGTCTCAATTCACAATCGAGAATTCCTGGTTTGAATCCCAAATGGGACAAATGGTTGGGCAAGTTTCTTATCACTTAGTGCCCCTGTCCACCTAGCAGTAAATAGGTACATAGGAGTTAGTCTGCTTGTTGTAGGGTTGCATTCCAGGAAGGTTCAACTTTGGGGGGGGGGGGGGGCAGGGGCTCAATATGAGCCGAATATGTTCTGTATGTATAAACCGACTGCTGTCCCCAGACACAATGAATTAAATTATAATTACAGTGGGTTGGGTGTCCAATGGGTTATAAAACCTGTAAACTAAGCTAGATTAGTAGAAAAACTGTAATTAAGATAAACATTTACAGATTGTCTTCTCACGATGGTGTCGTAGCAAGTGGAGACAAGCACATACTGTAGTTTTAAAAATACATTGTACAAATAGTAGCAGTATTATAAATAAATGAATGGGTTAAGAGCACTTGTACTGGTATATAAATGGTATATATAATTGCAATCACTGAAACATGAAAATAGTACCGAATCCATGGAACTACGTATTAGCAAAATTTCAAACTAAGTGTATCTAAATTGTTTCACACTTGTAAATTAATTATATGAGGAAGACTGGAGGGTATAGCAGTCAACCTTTGGGCAAGAATATTTTAATTGTAGCATTAAGAAGATAAAACATGCTTACATTTACAAAATTTAGATTTAATTCAATGAAGCTAATAACAGTTTAATACTGTATTAGGATTTATCTACAGGGCCACCAAACCTTGAGAGAAAGGCAGGAAGGAAGGCTGTTAAGGAAGAAATATTTATGCTATATACTGTATTTGTGTGTTGTAAGTGAATTGCAGGCAACTTAAATGAGTCAAATAAATTGGGCTATGCTTTAAGAAAATGTCAAGACATAGTTTTTTTAAATTACATAAAGACTGCTTTACCTAGCTGCATATTACCAAGTCAACCCAGGAAAATAATACTCTATATCAAACTTAGTGCTAGCTAACAAGATACTTATCAATAAATAAAAAATTTGGAGGTTTTGGTAAAAAAAAATATGGAAATCAGGTTTGTTGTAACATCGAGAAATTATGCAAGATTAAGATAAAACTTTACAAAAATTAAACTAATTCTGAGGGACAAAGTGATGCCTGATAAGTGTTCTGATAAGATAACAAAACAGAAGGTAGACGATCCTCGAGAGCAGATGTGACAAAATGAACATAAATTTGAAAACATATTTAAATAATAGAAAGACACGAACAAGCAAATAAAGAATGGAAATGATAATCTTATACAATGTTTTATCCAAATAGCAAGCATGATAAAGAGGTAAGAAGGAAAAATGCATCATGAATGAAGATAGAAAGGAAATCGGTCAAATCTCAAAGGGTTCTTTCAGATACCTGTATAGCACACCAAAAGAGTAATTTTATTTCAAGTCTTTACTAGACAACTTGTCATTATGCTCACAGCTGATAAATATAGAAAATGGATATATATCTAATACTGTACTGTATTAGTAAAAAAAAAAAGGCAAAAAGAAAGACCCAATATACATGTATGAACCCAAAATATTATCGTTCAACTTTATCTTGCCATTGTGAGACTGCATTTGGATTATGAATTACAGTTTTGAACACTTACATAATGGATGCAGGTTCTTTTAAAAGGTAAAGGCTACAGAGAAGAATGACTTAATTCTGGGAATTAAAAACCTTTCATATGAAATATGGCTAAGAAAACTTTGTCTATGGCTTTCTAGAAAGTCTATACAGTATTATGGAAAACCATGATTTAAGCACACAAATGGATTACAGTTTTTAATGAGAGCATTCAGTTAAAAAGAGGGGGCTGAAAATATAAAACCAAAGTTAAAACAAAAAGCACTGGATTTAACTTGGCTAAGTTAAAAAATGCATAGAGAAACACTGGTTAGGAAATAGGCTTTCAAATAAATGGAACAAGTTATACCATATAACATTTTTATAAGTAAATTCAGCAGAAAGGTTCATCAGTTAAATATATGTAATAGTGGCAATGGTTGGACACAAATATATAGGAACGTTGTGCAGATTTCTTATTTGTTATATGCTGAAAGAGGTTATTTTAGTTAATTTATTATCAACCACATTTATAGGAGATTAACTTGAATTCATGTAGGTGGTGGTGAGAGAGAGAGGTTACCTAGAGTCTGTGTGGGGAAGGAGCAGAGGGGGCTAGACTTGACATATATGGGTATATTATTTAAACATTGTATTTGACATTAATTACTTAATGTGAAATTCGATAATTTCTTGGTTTATGACCTGAATTCATTAACTTCCTGTATCTGCAGTTGTCAATACAGTAATTAGATTTTCCATAGTCATTTTAGAGAAATTCAAAGAAAATCAAAACAAGATACTAATCAGAACGTCCTTCGTGGTTTCAGCAAAGAGAAAGCTTAAATATTATATTAGTTTGATAAACAGTCTACTGAAGTAAACCATAGCAAATATTCTGGAGACAAACCACTTTTTAAAGTTCTGAAAATAAAAGTTAGCTCATTAGCTTTATTATGTATGGTGTTAAAGTGTATACTGTATATGTACACTTATTTACATTGTATTATAGATTCCATGTGTTTATATGGTTTTGTAAAATGAATTTGGGGTAAATTTTTAAACATCCTAGTAGCAGAAAAACTTATGAAATTAGATTTGTAGGAGACAGGAAGCCTGTATAATATATATATGCATAAACATGTATATAAATTGTCATCCACAATAATGTAGATATGTCTTTGGTCGCAAGGAGCCTCAAGCCACCAACCACAAGAGCGAGAGATGGTAGCTCTATCAACCAAAATACTGAACAGCCACAATAATGAAGGATTCCAGAAGCACCTAACTGCTGCCCAACTGGAACTGTAATCCTTCACCTGGCTGCCACTCGAGCATTGGGTGACCCACGCACCTGTCATATTATCCACGTTTATTGTGGTTGACAATTTACATGACGGGTGTGTCTCTTCCTTCATGCTCGAGTGGCAGCCCAGTGAAGGCTTAAAGTTCCAGTTGGGCAGCAGTTAGGTGTTTCTGGAATCCTTCATTACTGTGGTTGATAGAGCTTCCATCTCTCGCTCTTGAGATTGGTGGTTTGAGGCTCCTTGCGACCAAAGAAATATCTACATTATTGTGGATGACAATTTATTGACATGTTTATGCATATATATATTATACAGGCTTCTTGTCTCCTACAAATCAAATTTCATAATTTTTTCTTCTACTAAGAAGTTTAAATATTAACTCCAAGTTAATTTCACAAAACCCTATAAACACATGGAATCGTCTACCCGCTGAAGCCGTAAATGTCAAAACACTGCTGAAATTCAAAATCATTATACAATCATCAGGACAAATCAGGGGGGGGGGGGGGGAATTTAACGAGCCGCTGGCTTCCTGTCCTCTAGAGATAGTGGCTCTCGGGTGAATTTATTAACAAGCCACTAGGGCAGCTGTCGAACAGGGAACTAGGGCACAATTAAGCTGCTGAATAGGGAAGTGCGCTTTTGATGTCCGAAGGGATTGGAAAGGCTGGGCGAGGTAGAGGGATGCTGCTGCCCTATTCAGTGTGAGGGATTACGAAGTATTGGTGAAGGGGCTAGCTATATGCACATCTAATATCCCATTAGATGGTGTGTATGTTCGCCCGAATATGTTAAGATCAAATATTATTTCTGCGAGTGAGACGGAGAAGTGGGAGAGAGATGGAAGGGGGAACTGACACTGGGTCCTATAGTATTGACCAACTACGTTCACAATTATTACTTGTTGCGTTTTAAACAATGCCAAACAACCTATAAAAGCTATACAGTGTAGTTAGTTCTGGGGATGATTTTGTTAACATTACTAAAAGTCGACTTGACAGGAACGGTTGAGGGCCACATGGCAAACACTGCAAACTAGGCATGACAGGACTGATCTCGCAGACAAAATATTGATAAATTTCGAGCATATTACTCCAGACCTCTTCTTTAAAAATCATATTAACAAATACACGGGACAACGGCTTGAATTCCAAACTTAACAAGCCACAATATATGACAGAAAACTGATGTTTTTTCCACCCATTGTGTTATAAACCCATGGAACCGCCTACTCGCCGAAGGCGTAAATGCCGAAATATTGCTCCAATTCAAGATCCAGCTGGGGGACCTTTTACAAGCCACCGGCTTCCTGTCCTCGTCGAGACCACTAGTGAGACGGTGACTCTCGGGTAAACTCTGGACAACCTATTTTAGGCTACTTTAGTCAAGTACGTTCATAGGTTATAAATACTGAATAGTTACATATTATAAATATTTGTACTACCGGGACTACCACGGGTCCCAGTAGTACAATCGGGTTCGTTCTCGACTCACAACCGATAATTTCGAGTTAAAAGTCCCGGGCGGTACAAATGATTGGGCGCATTTCCTGTCACCTAATGTTCACCTAGCAGGAAGTAGGCGCCCAGGAGTTGGTCAGCTTGTTATGGGGTTGCATCCTGGGAATGGGGGGGGGGGCATTCGACCTCGGGGAGGGGGGGGGGCCTCGAAATAAGCCTAAGGTGCATAAATACACTCTGGCTGCCTGTCTCCCGACCCAATGAATTAATTACAGGTATTTGTATTTGTTGAAAAATGCAGCAGTTCGCCATGAACAAAAAAATTGTTGTCGAGATGCTGTTCGCTCAAGCTAGCTTGGCATCTTTGAAGGGATAAAAACTAAACAAAACAAAAACATCTCCACTAAGCAACTTTAGACTCCTTGTAGACTGAAGATAGCAAATTGCGTCACCACTGCGAACACTTAAACTCTTGTATATTCTA